CTTGCAAGTGTTTCGATCTCTGATGTTTATGTCATGGGATGCATGGGTGTCTTAAAGTCCTAAACATGCTCATGTCAAGGAGGGGATCAATGTTTGCGATGACAAGAGTGAATGTTAGGAATCTATGTTATTGATTTGTCCATGCAAACGACAAGCCAGCGTCCGTATTATATCACCGCGCTGATGGTGTGCGTTCATGTTGTCCATCTAAATGAGAGTTCACTCCGACTTGTGGTGTGTACCCCGAGCAATCCGCTAGTTGTCCATGCAAATGTCCAAGAACTGATAACCTGCGGGATCTGGAGTTCAATTCTATTTCTTGAGTGCGAAACTTTGCTCGAAACAGATCCAAATTCAATAGGAAGTCCCACCACAGACCATCAAACCTTGCCCCGGTGGCGGACTTCAGCATCCAAGACTTCCCGACAACTGCTAACCTGCGGCAAGCAAATCCACACCCAGCATCAAGGTTCCCTTAGAGTGCGTGGCCATCCACACAGACAGCCAACGACTGTTTGACACTTGTTGAAGGTGCTCAGTCTCCAAACCGATATTTGCGAATTGATTCACCGTTCAACTAGTATCTGTCAATGTTTTTCCGGGTTAAAGCAAGCAGGTCTCTCTCTCTCTCTCTCTCTCTCTCTCTCTCTCTCTCTCTCTCTCTCTCTCTCTCTCTCTCTCTCTCTCTCCTACCCGGAATCAGATCTCGCATCAAGATTCCCTAAGAGTGCTATCTAGCTGTCAGTGAGGCCCTGTGAGGGTACATTGTGAGCAGTGGCTGGTGTGTACCCTTTTTTTTTTTCTAATAATAAAAGTTTTAAAACTAATACATATTTCGTAAAAAATGAACTTTTTGTCAAAAAATGAACTATTTCGACTGCGAATAAAAACTCAGTACAAGGTCTAATAGGGCATCATGCGACACTTTAAGTAAGGATAAATGGTCAGTATATGAGGTGTTGACATGGCAAATGTTGCGGCGGGGCGTTTTGAGCCCTTCGTACATGAATAGTCGTTATTAAATGCGAATTAACACAGTGTAAACAAGGGTAGGGGCTCTTTGTATGACACCTTGACAATGTTGTCCTGGCTTGGTGTTGCTGTAACAGACAGTACACGATTCAAAAGGGCATCCTGTTGGGTATGTGGTGCCTGTTTTCCATAAAAGGTCAAGGGTGCGGCGCCCGACACCTTGCAAGTTGATGGACTGAACCCGTCAACTGTGGTCGGGCAGAACACCCAGCCTGGTGCACGACATTTGGCAAGTTGAACCCGCAACCCGTCAGTACCCCTGCAACAAATGTGTCCACCATTTATCTTCCCGGAAGGACCTCCTTCTTCGGTTGACAGATAGTAGTTGAACACCGAATTATTCGGGAGTTAGCGGTGTTCGACAGAGCACCTAACACAGTGTAAAAAAGGAGGCTCTTTGTATGACACCTCGACAATGTTGTCCTGGCTTGGTGTTACTGTGACAGACAGTACACGATTCAAAAGGGCATCCTGTTGGGTATATGGTGCCTGTTTTCCATAAAAGGTCAGGGGTCCGGCGCCCGACACCTTGCAAGTTGATGGACTGAACCCGTCAACTGTGGTCGGGTGGAACACCCGGCCTAGTGTGGCAAGTTGAACCCGCAACCCGTCAGTACCCCTGCAACAAATGTGTCCACCATTTATCTTCCCGGAAGGACCTCCTTCTCCAGTTGACAGATAGTAGTTGAACACCGAATGATTCGGGAGTTAGTGGTGTTCGACAGAGCACCTTGAGGAAGTGGCAAACAATCATTCGCTCTCGATGCCGATTGCCAATAGCACTGTTAGGAGGCCTTGATGCTGGTTCCTGATCTGTTTGGCGATCGAGCAGCTTGAAGAAGTGTGAAACAGTCATTGGTTGTTTGTGTGTGGCAAGATACGCATGCTTCGCATCCATGGCTGCAACGTCAACACACATGTGGAAATTCATTCAAAAACCGAAAGACACTCAAAAAAAGGGGAAAAAAAAAAAAAAAAAAAAAAAAAAAAAAAAAAAACGTTCGTTTTTCTATTCTTGCCTTTCTTAATTGGGACAGTTTGTAATCAAGCAGTCCTTGCAATTCAACAATTGGGGTCTCAAAATATTATTCAAAATTGATGTGTACCGTCAACCGCACTGCTGTTCTGTAGTAAAATGAAAGCCCATGTAACGTTCGCCAGCGATAGAGAACATCCTTTTAGAGACACCTCAAAGATTGATCAAGGCCATTAGATGTTGTGGATCCAAGAGCATGGACTCAATGTTCTGCATGCTTTTGGTGCGCCACGGCCCGCCACACAACGCGAGCAATGACGGTTAAGGAGAAGGGATATTTGCAGCTGTTTTGTGTTGCATGGTTGTCAGGCCCCTACGCCCATATGTGGATGAGCGCATGAAACCGGACAGGCCACTTGTCAGTGTGGTTCCTGGCAGCTCTCAAGTTAAAAATACACTGCAGTGCATCGCCAACCCGCTCACGTGCTCAAGAATAGAAATTAAAAAAAAAAAAGGAAAGTGCCCATGTTGGCTAGGTCAGGGTCCCATACCTGTACGTGTATGTGTTGTTGGCGTGTGACGCCGTGTGTGCTATCCACGCCTGCCCAATGCCACACAGATCTGCACATCTGCTTTTCAGGCCTTCAGCATATGTCAGAATAAGCATCCAATTTGGCATGCAAGTGGTTGAAGCAGGCCATGAGTTCAATGTGTTCAGGTTATGCAAGTTGCATTGAATTTCCTTTGCTGCATACTATTCCATGGAGGTCATGGAAACTTGTCCGGTGCTGTTATCACATAGGCCGTTGAAATATATTGGTCTAACTTAGCCTCAACATAGCGCAATTTTTTGGGCACTATGGACAGTGTGATTGAATGCTTTGTTTTGGAATTCCAATCGTCTGATGCCATGTGAATCATGAAGCATCTTAGCAAACTTAATGGCAGGCCTCAAGCAAACGTGACATAGCCATTATGGTATTTGGCCAGTACCTCACACATCAACATGTGCTGAACTTTTTCTCTGTGTTTCATGCATATATCTGATTTAGTCTTTTCTCAGGAGGTCAGATGGCGGCAGAACTCGCAGTTGGCGTGGCTACAAACCTGCTATCTACTGCGATTCAGCAACTCGGAAATACTGCCTTACAATTTGTGAAAGAAGTTGTATACCACAACGAGGCTTGCCAGGAACTGGAAACATGTGTTCAGGACATCAAAACAATCAGTGATAGACTTCAAGGAATGCAGTATAGAAAGGGCAACCTTCAGATGTTGAGTGGCAAACTGTAGCATATCAGAAAGTGAAATGCACTAACAGCCTAGGATCTAGCAATGATGAAAGTGGCGACAACCAGCAGCATAGATGCGACATTCACCAGATGTCAACGTGCACAATGCAACAAGTAAACCAACAAAAAAAAGAAAACAACAACAACACATTTGCATTATCATCATCATGGGCTGGGGAACAGCGCAGCGGAATTATAGTAACCAAGAGGGCACGTGGACGACAACAGGAAAGGGAGAAACTTCGGAAGGGCAAGACATTAGAGAGATTGCCCTTCCGCTCACACACATAGGGAGAGATCCATAGACATGCGAGAGAGAAGGGGGGGGGAAGGGGCATAGGAGGTAACCAAGTCCAACCCAAGTCTGATCTCCGAATGTCGTGCACAGTTCAATCCCAATGTAGCGTGTAAGTCCGGTCTGAATGTCGTGTCCAATAAGGCAGAATGCCGTGCCCAAACAATGTCTCCAGTCACCTCTATCTCTACTCTGATCAAGACGAGGAAGAAGAAGAAGAAGTAGAGGAAAGAACTGTGGAGGAGTAGGAGGAGAAGAGGAGAGGAG